GGTCTGATTTGATAAGGGAGCAGTGCGAAATGCAGCGAGAGAAAAGCAGCCTATTTTCCTCTCACCGTTCTTCGCGCTGCTGTCCAACTAACCGAATGTGTGAAACAAATACTAGGGTATTTAACCCTGATCCACGAGAAGTGTTTTATAGTTTTCTAGGACGTTTACAAGAGAGAACAGGAAGAATGTTAAATAAGCTGTCTGTTGATAGGTTCCACGGGTACGGGGAAAGTTCCTAAATCAGTGGGGAGCACGATTCTTATGCACCCAAAAACCCTCTGTTTTTAGGGTATCCTCTGCCTTTAAGACCCTGTTGTTTATAAACATAACTGCACCACTCTAAAAGCTGTGTAAGTCCTCATTTTATCAATCATGGATTTCAGGCTTGGTAGATCGAGCTTTCAGGTTGTTGTTGTTATTGTTTCGAGGATCATGGCAGGGAATGCTCTCTGATTTAGGAAGATTTTACTGAATCAACGCTCAGTTGCACAGCACGTAACAAGTTGCCTTGCAATGGCAGGAAGCCTTCGAAAGCCTCGTAAACCCAATACCAACGTTCTTGCTTACTTTGTTTTATAATCGTTTCACAAATTCCGTCCAATATCGTCAAATCATCAACTGCAACATCACCTTTACTTCCATCACCAACTGTTCCTTCTAGTACAAACTAACAAAAAAATACGAAAGTATGTTAGTTCTAAAACGCAATAGAAACTTTCCTTTATTTATAACCTCCTCATAATCAAATAATGAAAAGTAAGAAGGATAAAAGATGAAAGTGCTTAATACATGGTCCCGATTTAAGCTCTCTGTTTTTGGATTTCATTGAGTCTTAAACAAAATATGAAAACTTACTTTATATAAACTTGGACTATTCAGGGCAGTCTGTCCAAATCTCCAGCGGTTTCCTTGATCTCCTGACAGCCTCCAGACGGGAGTTTCTGATTGGTTAGTTTTGACATAAATGTTTAGATTTCCGATATCTGAGCCGTGCATGTGATACCAAAACTGAACACAAACTGTTTCATTGGCTTCTATCCAGCCACTTAACAACCTCGCCTTTTCTCCTGGGTTTCTTTTAGAAGCTTCAATGAAAATGTAAGAGCCTGAAAAAGAAATGTATAGTAGTTATAAAAGTGTTACTTATTAGCAGGAAATTAAAGGCAGAACGTTTCTCGCCTACCCCTGCTACTTATAACGCGGCATTGCCGCTGTGTTGTCACAGTCTCAGTTTGTACCCAGAATTTCGTCTTTATTTTGAACTGATTGGTGATTTGATCCAAGTACATAAAGCTCATCAATCAGAGGAATGCTTGTCTGCTTAGCGAATCATTTTGGTTCCCACGCGTGCTACCAGTTTCATGTTTTATGTCCAAGGTCTGATTACTTTTTTAAATTCAGTCAGTATGTATAATGATAGACTCATATTTGCCTTGGTTTAAATTGATGGTTACTGAACTTACCGCTACTAACTTCCCTAATTACAGTTTTATTCACTTCTGACTTCTCTTACCATCCTTATTAAGCGACGTGTGATCGTAACTCGGTCCAGTACTTTCCGTTGGCGTCTGGCCTGAGCCCACAGTCCAGTGGAACGTGGCATTCTTATCAGCTTTCAGTCCACAAAGTCCACTTTCGAAATTACAATGACCTTTTGAAACCACGATAAGTGGAAAAATATATAATAAGATAACGAACAAAGAAATTGATGCTGGAACGTTCAAACGTTTAAAAGATTCCTGAAACGAAACTTTCAAGACGCAAGCCCTTCGTTTCCTTGTTTGTCAATAATGAAATTTACGTTTATAAACAAACAGGTAGTTACAAAAGATTCCCATTGAATACATGTTCTTGTTTCTAAAAGAGTAAATGTCATGCTGAACTGAATACACAGCTTAGTCAGCGAGTAAGTTTTGCTTTAACCATACCTCTGAAAGATCTACATCTTTTTTGCACGCTTGTATTTTTAGAGGTACATGCTAAATCATCTAGATGGCATTTGCCAGAGCCTGGGAAACCAACAAATTAACGAAAATTATATGAGCACAACCAAAGAAGATGAAACGCGAGATGTTTATAGGGATTAAAGCTAAAAGCGACAACAACTAAGAAACAGATAGGAGAACTGAGAAATGAAAAGAAGTGAGGGGAAAACGAAAAAATAGAGACACGAAAAATGAAATCACAAGAAAACAAAACTGAACAAGAAGAAATGTCGAAGATAAGAAACGAAACAGTTGTGCTGACTTTTATGAAACGAACCACGAACTGCACGCCATTTCTCCCGTTTCAAGCTACAGGGAAAATTCGCGATTTTAAGGGGTGAAGCCGAAAACCGTATATCTAACGGAGATCCCACTCGACTCTACTAAATTAAAAAGTCTACGAACGTAACTCACCACATACAGAAGGCGTATTAGTTCCGTCCCTGCAGAAAGCTGTCTGAGTACATGTTTTTGACCACGAAATGCAAGACCCATCAACACACTGATATCTAGAGCTGCACCGATTCCCTGAAAAGTTAATTATGTACGCGGTGTACTTAAAATCAACCAAGGTAAAACTTCACTGGCATATAACTCACACGTAGCTCATATGTGGCAACAAAAATTAATCAGCACACGCGGAGTTCGAGAAAAAAATTGGACATTCAAANAGGGATTAAAGCTAAAAGCGACAACAACTAAGAAACAGATAGGAGAACTGAGAAATGAAAAGAAGTGAGGCGAAAACGAAAAAATAGAGACGAAAAATGAAATCACAAGAAAACAAAACTGAACAAGAAGAAATGTCGAAGATAGGAAACGAAACAGTTATGCTGATTTTTATGAAACGAACCACGAACTGCACGCCATTACCTCCCATTTCAAGCTACAGGGAAAGTTCGCGATTTTTAGGGGTGAAGCCGAAAACCGTATATCTAACGGAGATCCTACTCGACTCTACTAAATTAAAAAGTCTACGAACGTGACTCACCACATACAGAAGGCGTATTAGTTCCGTCCCTGCAGAAAGCTGTCTGAGTACATGTTTTTGACCATGAAATACAAGACCCATCAACACACTGATATCTAGAGCTGCATCGATTCCCTGAAAAGTTAATTATGTACGCGGTGTATTTAAAAGAAAAAAAATCAACCAAGGTAAAACTTCACTAGCGTATAACTCACACGTAGCTCATATGTGGCAACAAAAATTAATCAGCACACGCGGAGTTCGAGAAAAAAATTATCACTTCTGACTGAGAAACTTACCAATAGGAACGTTTCGGTTACGTAGTCCAAATGTAGTGTATGAGCACAAAAACGTTGTACACGGTCGTAGACCTTCCAACATAAATCTTGTCATCTTTGTTTCCTTCTGTTCTTGCCAAGCCCGTCTATTAACTATGGTTAAAATGAAAACAAATAATAACTTACGGCAATTTTTTTCGTCGTCTTCATTGGAACAGTCATTTGTTCCATCGCACACGGATGTTGCCAGGAGGCATCCTCCCTCTTTACAGTTGAACATGCTGGAAGGGCATTCACAGTTGTCCTCATCTGAACCATCTTTACACGCAAAGTCGCTATCACATAACAGATTCTTCTTGACACATTCGCCATTATTGCATGTAAACTTGTCGTCGCTGCACTTGAAACCTGAAAAAAGGAGTTGCAAAGAATGTTTTCACTCATGTGTCCAGCAGGCATACAAATTTATTGGAACAAAAGAAAGTGTTTACATAAGAAAAGTGTTCAACTCCCTCAGGATTAGCTTGCGACACCAACTTGGCCGCCGTTTCATTGTTTTGGGACACCAATATAACTGTTGTGACGTCATTTGAATATACTCTATTGAGGTCATTCCACTGAAATAGAACCTGCACTGAGATTTTTGTCAAACTTTGCCTATTGACTGTTTATATTGTAGGAACTTAAATTTGGAAATAAAAATGAGGGGTCCCCATGTTCGTTTAGGAACAACAGCACCTTTTTTATACCACATAAATCCTTACAATAGCACCATGATTATAGTCACGATTGCTTGCTAAATTCACGTTTCCGACGATTGTTTCTTGCTCAACACTAAGAATTGGCTCATATTTATTTTACATAGAGACATTTATTACTCAATTCAACACAACAGAAAAAAATGATAGGTCACCGTACTCGTTTTCGAGAAAATGATGATTTACCTCTATGGTGAGGTCCAGCCGCAAAGAAAAAGCCGCCATTTTTTAATGCCTTAGTCATGTCATACAGATTAAGCGAGTAGAAAGAAAATAGGCCAGAAACAAGTGGGCAGTCTGTTTCTGAAGGACTTGTCTTTGCATGATCAAGATAAGCAAAACGTAATAGAGAAGCAGAAATAACCTGGCTCAGCAAAGTAAGGTCTCAAGGGGCAATTCTCGGTTGTAATGATGACGTCATCAATCGCTACGTTGATCTTCTTATCAACAAAGCCTTGTCCCTCAAAGATAACCTACAGAAACGGGAAAAAAGATTTTACAGTTAGTTAACCTCGCTGTAAATCACTTAGAGATATTACATGATAAGGAATACAAGTGGGCCCATTGAATGGCAATAACAAGCATACATCAAAATATCTTTAAACCCAAAAGAACTGATGGCCAAGTCTTAAAACAAAACANCACGTTTCCGACGATTGTTTCTTGCTCAACACTAAGAATTGGCTCATATTTATTTTACATAGAGACATTTCATTGTATTACTCAATTCAACACAACAGAAAAAATGATAGGTCACCGTACTCGTTTTCTAGAAAATGACGATTTACCTCTATGGCGAGGTCCAGCCGCAAAGAAAAAGCCCCCATTTTTTAATGCCTTAGTCATGTCATACAGATGGTTAAGCGAGTAGAAAGAAAATAGGCCAGAAACAAGTGGGCAGTCTGTTTCTGAAGGACTTGTCTTTGTATGATCACGATAAGCAAAACGTAATAGAGAAGCAGAAATAACCTGGCTCAGCAAAGTAAGGTGTCAAGGGGCAATTCTCGGTTGTAATGATGACGTCATCAATCGCTACGTTGATCTTCTTATCAACAAAGCCTTGTCCCTCAAAGATAACCTACAGAAACGGGAAAAAAGATTTTACAGTTAGTTAACCTCGCTGTAAATCACTTAGAGATATTACATGATAAGGAATACAAGTGGGCCCATTGAATGGCAATAACAAGCATACATCAAAATATCTTTAAACCCAAAAGAACTGATGGCCAAGTCTTAAAACAAAACAAAGAAACATACAAACAAACTATCAATCACAACATCTACATTCACACCTTCCTTTACAAGTGAATATATGAAATATCACATATTTGAACTGCGAAGAAAGATATGAAGACGTGATTGATCATTGCAGTTATATACATAAGTTAAGTAGTTTTTAAATTAAAGCCTGAAAAGAAATTTATGCTTGAACGCGATTCAAACCCATGACCTCAGCGATACCGGTGCAATGCTCTACCAACTGAGCTATCAAGTCAACTGGGTTTTATTACTGACCAGTTCCCAGATGGCTTGATAGCTCAGTTGGTTGAGCACTGCGCCGGTATCGCTGAGGTCATGGGTTCGAATCCCGTTCAAGCTTGAATTTTGTTCAGGCTTCAATTCAACAGCTGCTTAGGTTGTGTAGATATCTGCGGTGATCAGTCATGTCTTCATAACCTTCCTTTACGTTAATGTATTTTCTTTTTCTCAGTGCTATTGCTATTGAATGCGAAAACATACAAATTTTTTCAACGTTAACTACCAATGAGTAACTGTTTGAACCTGAATTCCCTTGGCGCCTGACCAAGCCACTTGAGCTGCTGACCACTTCTCACCGTGGTTTCCGACCAACTGCCACACTAGCACCAGCTCTTCCCGATTTGGCTCTCGAAGGAAAATCTTCAAGGTGGACTTTGATTGAGTAGGCATGAGGTAATTAAACCGCAAACACAAACCTACGGATTGATGGAATGGTTTCCACGGTAACAACGGACCTTCCAACTTTGCTTTGAAGGAGTCACCAATATAGGCAAAGTGACCTGAAAGAAGAAAATATTTTTTTCCAAACATATGTTGTCTTAACATGGGCTCTATTCGATGGTTTTGGAAAAGAAACCCATTTTAAAAACTCCACTCGAAGCCGTCAAATGTAGTCTGTCGTTAACTTAGACTTAGGGGGGGATAGCCTATTTCCATTTCCCCTGGGTGGGGTGCCTGCCAATCTCTGTTTAACCCCCTCCCCCTTGCTCCCCCAGATTCTGGTCAGGATATCACAGCTCATTTATTTTCCTGGGTAGAGCTCATTAGAACGACTTCACAAAACACCTGAAACGGAAACTGGCGATCCCGAGTCCACAGCGCTGACCATTAGGCCACCTCAACCACGAAGTATCAGAGTATAATTTCCACCTACCTGGAAATTTAACCAATGTTTTATTATTTGACAATTTCCAATTTTCTTCGTTGTCACCAAGACTGGTCCAACCGCAATACTCTGATTTGAAGTAGCACTCTTTTATCACCACAGCTGATAGAAAAAAGAAAAAAATAACGTTTGCGTCCCATCTCAAAGAAAATTGCAAAGCAAAAAAAATATATAAAATTCACCTCGAAGATGAAGATGCCCTAAAACTCTCTCGCTCACAGTTTGTTCTGAATTGTTGACAAATGAATAACTGACCTGCGACCAAAAGAACAATTAGTCCCAATTATTTTGAGCATTTTACGAGCATTGCGATTGGTTGACAAGTGTGAGAAAAATTGTCTTTTGTAATCATTAACTATGTAAGGAACTAATTTACAAATACAGGGGCGTAGCCAGGATTTTTCAAAGGGGGGATCACACTGTGTCAAAGTGAGGGTACTCGCCAGATTGTCATGTTGTTTTCGCCACCTGAAAGAGAATTGGACCTAAAATGATCTGTTCTGTGACCACTGACCTTGACTGCAAAATTGTCAGGTTGTCTGTCCGTGTTAAAAGTAGCCGTGAATGATGTATTCACACAGGAGAAGTTAAGCGCTGAATTAATTGTCACATTTTGTCCAAGGGTTGAGACGTTCAGTTCCAGCGGGCAATCCGGACAATATACACCTTGACAGCAGAACCTGTAATAACCTGTTTTGCAAAGAACGGAAAACCTGTATTAAGCGGACACCCTTGGGACACTTACTTGTGTCCGCTTAATAAAGGATGTCCGCTCTAAACAAGTTCTAATATCTTGTGCAATAATAGTTAATCATCAACCCTTTTGTAACAGAGCGTAACACAGTGTAAGATCAAAGACTGCTCATAGCACAATGTCCAGTCAGTCAATGTATCAAACTGAAATAATCCACTTAGCTTCAAAACGACATTACTGAG